TTCAAGGCCCTTTATTCACTGTGCTTATTATTATTATTATTATTATTAAATGCTGCTTCCTTGTTATTCTATTTTATGATAAAATCATTTTATTCTTTTTTTCAGTCGAAAGATTGCGCAATAAAGAAAGAACTATTTTACACAGGTAAGAGTCGTTTTTTGTAACTCCTCTAGCATCTACTCAGATGCTAGAGGCTTCAGTGTACTTGAACCGTAGTAGCTAGTAGCGTTGTTTATCGGTTTTAGTGTCGCAATAGGTGTAAGATAATTCATTAATCTTAGATATAAAAATAAAATCTTTCTTATTAGCGTTTACTTCTACTTATATTTCCAGTAAACATATTCAAATATTTGGCAGAAATAATATCCTCCCCAGTGCCATTAAAATCAATTCCTGAAAACTGATATTAAGGGAAAATATGGTGAAATAAAACCAAGGAATTCTAAGCTACCTATACCAGTGACGCCATTTGCAATTTAGGTAAAGCGCATGCGTGGTTCTAGTGCATTTAAAACTATCGCTAATTTGCACGCGTGGCCAAAAACTTAATAAAATTTGTGTCGCTCAGACAGAAGAAGGAACAGAACTTGACTTTCGTTGCGGTTATCAACTAGAGAAAACAATAAGCGAATCATTTAAAAATATTCTCGGTATATCGCATAATACATGTATAATGACACCTTACTGTCCACCTTTTTATTAAGAACAGTCTTAGTATTATAGTTAGGAATATATTCGACTTGGGTAATATCTATTAGTAAACATACATTGTTTTAATACCTAAAGATATATAGAAATCAGTAATATCTCTACGCTACAAAAATATATATGGAAAATAGGCGATCAAGTTTAAATAATTTTAATTTAAATATATACTTACATTCTGTTAATTATAAACCGCATCCTAGTCTCTTATCGGGTAGACGGCTTCTAAAAAGCACTGATTGGTGAACTGGTATGAAGTAAATGTCCGCTGTGAAAGTTACACAAATGCTACAAAAGTCTGCCTCGCGGATACACTTGAAATGTTTAACATAGACACCTGCGTTTGGAAAGATCTTTCGACTGAAAGGTTTACTTGAAAGGTACTAATGACTGCTAGAACTAACGGTGTGAGAAAGTAAGGATTGAATAGCGAAGCTAAAACGGGTTGCAAGTAGTTCTCCTCCCAGGAAAAGGCACTAAAGATAATCATTGCCAAATGTAGATGCGTATGCTTTTTTAAAGGCGAGCTTGATTAGTCAGACACCTCACTAAAACAACACAATCTATTACTATGATGTCCAATTTGATTTCACTTGAAATAACCCTATTTTCAATGCAATGAGTGATCTTGATTGTAAGCCCCTGTCTTAAAGTGTAGGTCTCCTGTTGGACTAATGAGTCAGCGGCTAGAATGTCAATAATAAAATCAAGGAAGTAATTGTACTCAGACATGAGTTGACTTGTAGGTTAAGCAGTGCACAGTTGTAACAGAGACTCTTAACAAAATCGTGCTGAGCATGAAAAATTCTAGGGATGTTCTTGATTGCTAATCTCCTTTAGAATATTGGCCCAGGGTTTAAACTAATATGTAATTAATCTGGTCGCGCCTGTCTAAGTAGAGCAGGCCTTAAAAATCATCAAAGAAGCCACATAGAGAGATAAGCCATTCAATACACATTATAGGTCATTCCTACTTGAAGCGAGTGTATAAAAGAATATGCGTCATAGACTAAAATGCCACTGAGATATTATCGCAAGAAGACCCCAACGTTGTCACATCTGCGCAAGAGAATGTAAATTCGTATCAGAATTAAAATAAGACATATCAACGTAGGCTATTTTTAATGATAAATAAAGCGACGTCATTGCTCGATATTGAATCGTAACCAACATGTATATATGGTGATTTTCTAAACGTAGCTTAAATGTGTTACGGTCGAAAGTATGGGGAACCCAGTGAGGATCGAACTCACTACTCAGTCGTAATTGTTCTAACGGGACAAACCTACTAACCATTATACAACGTCTAGATTCCAAACAATATGTATATATGTATGCGTGGACGAATAACTATATTATTAGAAATTCGCTATGAAACTCGTTTGTGAAGCGACCGGATCTCATGGTGAATTTTGCGAAGGTGGAGTTTTCTTGATAATATGGGCATGAAGAGTCAATCCTACTGCATGGGGACTGTTGAAATACATCTGAAATCCATTCCACGGATTTATAAAATCCTTGTGAATGAAATTTGATGAACGAAAATCTTCTAAATAGCTGTGCATGCATGAAGTCACAAGTCATCCTAACCTAGTGTTTGATGGTACTTGCCTCGTTCAACTACTAATCCCCAGAAAGTACAAGGGATACTCAGATTCTTTTTCGTCAACCACAAGTTGTATTTGATAAAATGGAAATGTTTTTAGTGGGTGTTTCGAAAAGGAAATAGCTATTGAACCTAAAAAAAATGTGTAATTGGAAATAACAAAATGCCTGAGCAAGAATCTACAGCAAGTATTATCTCATCAGGCATTTTGTGATATCCCAAAATAGATGAATTACAGTCACTATTATTTAATTTCACAATCTAGCGAATTTCGTTGATTAGCTAATTTATATACATATGTGTGTGTGTGTGTGTGTGTGTGTGTTCAAAAGTATCGAGACTGTTGCTATGATAACGAAGCTAAAGTACATAGAATGAAGCTGGTTGGCGCAGATTGACCTTGAACTCTATTGCGCATGCTCACTTAGCTATAACGTTCTCTCTCACTTCTGTTGTATACAGCAGTGCTTGGAAGGAAATTGTGTATAGTGTGGTTTCCATAAGTGACAAGTTTTTGGCCTCTCACAACATTGCCCGGGTCTGACAACCACCATATTTCCTAGATCACCTTTAAACCTTTTCCTCTTTCAAAATATGAAATACCACTTTAAAGGAGCAAGATTTCCAGGCGTTGAGACAATCCTAGAGAATTCAAAAAGGAGTTCCAGGAATGCTTCCATCATTAGAAAGTCGCTGGAAATAGTATGTGACATCAGAATGGGACTATATCGAAGGAGATTAAATCCTGAATTGATATGTTTTGTAGTTTTCTTTTTATAGCTCCAGTCCCAATGCTTTTTGATCAAACCTCATATATATATATATATATATATATATATATACAAATGTTTGGAGGTACAAAATTTATAAATAGTTTTAAAAACAAGGAATGCATTGATTTTAATTTTAAAAGTCTCTAGGGCCCTTTCAGCCAACATCTCATCAGGAGACAATCGTTGGATTAGCGAAAAGAATATTAACGATATTGAAGAGCAAAAAAGAGGGGGAAACACAATAAAATAACAAACAAGTATATATACTTGTAACGAGGGGAGGGGAAATAATCGTGTAAATAAATTAGCGAGGGACAGTTAAAATATCCCCCAACAGATTCAGAGACTTTACAAATTCTTTCTGTCGGCAGAGAGAAGGTTTTCTTAATCCTATACAGACCGATTCCAAAATCTTCAAATGATTATTGAAATCGGCTGTATGAATAATTTTAAACCACTCTTTTTTAAACAACTTGACGCAAGCTATATTCTCAACTAAATGTTGAGCAATAGCCGATTCCATATTCATGGAGGGAAGATAGCATATTCTATCTATCTTACCAAGTCGTATTTTGGAAGGTACGTGCTGATTGATTCTAGTTTCCCCCTCTTTTTTGCTCTTCAATATCGTTAATATTCTTTTCGCTAATCCAACGATTGTCTCCTGATGAGATGTTGGCTGAAAGGGCCCTAGAGACTTTTAAAATTAAAATCAATGCATTCCTTTTTTTAAATATATATATATATATATATATATATATATATATATATATAACCTGAAATTTCAATTTGCGTGTTATTCTACCTATGTCTGCCAGTTCGTACCGGTATCCCAAAGGTGGCACGTTCACAATAAAAAAATGAAATAATCAATTAAATGACTTAAATTGTCAAAGCGTTGGCACGATATTTTTAGAATATCAGACGTCTAGCTGCCTAGAACCTTTCTTGAATAAAGTAATTATTAACTTTTCTATCCGTAAGAGAAGCTAACCAAATCTGTAGGCCTCCAGCACTCTTTCTTCTGAATATATGAGATTCGTTCCGATTCTAACGCTACCGATTCTATGTTATTGTTCTTTGAGATCAGAGACATTCGATGAGGATATGGCCGTAGAGGTTGAACCTTCTCACCAATAACCCACATTAGTTTGGACTTTGTTACTGATAGCAACTGAGTAGCAGTTAGTCAAATTGGCATGAAAACACGTGTACAGAGAAGAATCATTGAAATCTTCCAAACAGAAGAATTGTACGAATTGACATTCATTGACGCCTGCTGTTTTATGGAGGGCAATGGTAGATGGTGAGTAACAAGTCATGTTCTGGCCAGATCTACGTAGCAGTCACCGAACAAATTGGAGAAAGATTGTTTATTGCTGATGAAAATGCATGGTCAGTGGTGGTGGCTATTTGGAATACTCCGTATAATGTAAATAATGTACATAATAGCTCATCTCAGAAATATAGACAGATAATTGAAAAATAATGTCTTGTAGCAGAAAACCTGCACTAGCCAACGGTTTGGTATTTTCTGTGGCATTAATTTCACCGCTTGGCGATTGATAGAGTCGATATGAACATTCTGTTTTGTAGCTGAAAACTTACTCTAACCAACGGTTAGCTCCCTTGTCCTCTTGCAGATTCCATGGAAATAAATAGGTAGCATTCATTTCAGGACATTCTTCATTTATAATGAATCAATATCGTGCGTTACTAGATATTGCACTATCATTACTGGTATTCAGGTGCTATTTAATCCTGATAGTGACTGTTCTGTCGCTGAAAAGTGACTCAACGATGCTATTTTATTCCCTGATCTTGATGTAGTTTACATGAAAACAGAAGGATGCATCTTTTCGGAGCATCTCTAATTATAAATAATATTTCCCTATATCATAAGCCTTCATGGCTTACGGCCACGTTACGTTGAAACACCATTTCCCGTACGATCACCGAAGTTAAGCAACATCGAGTCTCGTCAGTGCCTAGATGGGTAACCGCTTGAGAATACCAAGAGCTGTAAGCTTGGATGTTGCGGATGGTGTAATGTATAACGGCTCGGAATTGTTAATCGGAGAACTGAGTTCTAATTCTTGTTGGGTTTGTTGTATTCTCTTATGCGCAAATAACCTTGGGAACGATGTGAGTTCACCTATTCTTCCCCCAGCTACGTGTTAATTAGTAACACTTGTATCAATAAATCATTATTATCTCAAAAATATTCTAACAATTTAAAAAACATTTTCTGGCTTAAATTAATTCGTTAAAAGGTTGGTAAATCCAGAAAAAACGAATCACTCACGCGCCATCTTTAAGCTCTTGTCTATTGTTTATGCAGATTATATGGAAAATCATGTGCTCTGAAGATGAAAACTTGCTTTATCTAATAGTGTTATTTTTCTCCCTGTATCGGCTATATTTTGCGTGGAATTAACTAGGATATCTTACTTTTATAGCGCCAACTAGGAGTTTTATCTAGAAGTAGATTTGCAATGATGATGATGTTAGCTGGCCACTCGTATTCGAAGATAGCTAATCCCTACTGCAGACGCTTGCTCAGGTGCATTTTGTGCTTGTTCAACATTCATAGAGCCCAACTGTGGTTTATAATGCAACTTTACTGTGCAAAGCTTAGTTACAGTTTCTGTGAGAGAAGCGTATTACCTTACGTGATCGACAATCTGAACAAGGACAGTACGCTCAAATCCCAGGTCATGATGACTTGTGACTTCATGCTAGCACAGCCATCGACGGCCCCTAAGGGTCCCGTCTTTCCAATTTCACTCGTGGTATGGTTTTAAGCACTTTCCACATGTGCCGCACGTTGGGATCGCTACCTCCAGACCGATAACGTCAAGACGTCACCTTCCTGACTAATCGACCATGGTGAGATTCGAACTCGAGTCTCATGGTCAGAAAGCGAACGTTCTAACCACTCGTGCCCATATTTGCAATGATATAATTCTAATAAATAGTATCGTGGGAATATAGGTTTGCAGAATTATTGTTCATTTGGTTTGAATAGCTTCAAATCTAAAAGCTTGTATCCCCTTGCCGATAAAATTTCAGAATGTTTTATTCAAAACTTGGTTTGGTTTCAACCTATTAAATAATGAGAAAAAACCCTTTTTAATTATAGACTGGTTTGGTTTGTTTTACGGCATATCAACCTCGATAGGTTATTTAATGCCGACAAAATTTTTATCGCTGGTAATATTTTTTTCCAAAAATGTATTACTTTAATTTTTTTTCTTCTAAAATGTGTCGCTGGTAATATTTTTTTTTCCAAAATGTATAGCTGGTAATAATATTTTCTTTAAAAATTTATTGCTAGTAATAATTTTTAACAAAGTATTACTGGTATTAAAACTTATTTTTACACTTTCATAGTGTTTTGGGGGTTAACTATTTACCCATAGCTGGGACTTTAGCAGGTGCTACCACCCCGGGTCAAGGTGGACCTGGGAACACCAGCAATGAAGAGGTGGTTCCACGCTCCTCAAAACCTCCTGATCAAAGAGGACCTGCTGTTGGACGTAGTTTTTCGTCTTACCCAGGACGCGGATTTTTTAAGTATAGAAACGTAGACTTCAGACTTTTTTGTTTATGTTTTGCAAGTGATACATTTTTCAATTTTGTTTTTACGTTATTACGTGTTTGCCGGTAAAAGGTATTCCCGCCAACACATGAAAAGAGGAGTGAATGATTACTGGCCATTAATGACTGCAACTAAAAATAGGAAGTTTTTTTCTTAGTCATTTCACTCCAGCAAAACAATGATTTCTACTAACGCGCAAGGCTTTACAGAGTGAAAACAGGTGAGAAGACCCTAGGACAATAAAAGAACAGGTTTCAGGAAGACAGAAGATGGTGATTTACGTTTTTAAATATTTGATACCGTAGGTGACTGGGAAACAAGAACCCGGAAGAGAATTCCACAGATCAGAAGTGCGAGGAAGGAAACTTTCAGAATAGTACTTACGGTTATATCTTGCTATTTCAACAGTAAAACGATGAAACCTGGTTTCCAGTACAACGCTAAATTTTATGCGGTCAAGGTTTTAAGAAAGAAATCTTATAAGAACAACTGACATGAATATATCTGGAGAAAAAAAACAGAGCGATATTACGTCACGGCGGTGGGAAAGTGACTGAAGACGAGGAGCCAGAACTTAACCGAATCACATTACAAAATCTTTATTGGATACCAGACTACATGTGGCAGCAATATTTAATGCATGAATGGATGGTAGATTCATGAACGTGCATGAAGGATTCTGGCAGGAATTTTTTTCTTTGCATGACACAGTGAACGAACATTCCTAATGGCAGGCATAGCAATTTATTCAATATAATCACCCGACTCTGTTTCAGCGGAAAACGTCAAACCGAGAAAGCGCAATCAGTTGCTCTCTTGGAGGTTAATATGACACAGTGAACGTGTCGTATAGGCCACTGTGGAGGTTTTGCGTAACGGTGTCGATTTGATAATAAAGTTGCATTGTTCTTTCGCTCGTCTTCTCCTGGCTAATGATCGTTAGTTGTTTTGACTCCAAGATACACAAAAAAAAAAACAGATTTTAACTTAGCTATTTTATTAACGTCGGCGTATATATTTCTACATATTTAGTCGGTTTGGTTTCCATCCACTGGGAAGATGTTTCCAGACACGAAAGGAAATACATCTACATTGCTTAACGGTTCAGAAACATCTCCTTAAAAAAGCTTTCTATATCAGTATCATTCCAACGCTGGTTAAGCCAATTAAAATCGACTTCCTTATTTTGTCTTCTATCTGATCCCTAAGGGCAACCCGAGGAAGTCAGAGCATAGATAAACTTCCCTTAAAAATAAAAATCTGCTAAACTATTATTTAACATACCTTACCTAATCATTAAAAAATAATTCATCAACTTTCTTTCAACTATATTACTCTAAGATTCCCTCTACTCTTTCGTGTCTGCAAGGAGTGCTCCTTTTAGTTTCATTTTTTCTTCATTAAGCCTGGGTCACATGACCCCCTCCTGCATGCACAGATACCATAACTCTGACCATTTTCCACGCTTCACAAACATTTTCTTTTAATTAAAAACAATACCGCACGATCGTTTGTACATTCTTGGTCACTAGCTTCGCTGACCCAAGCTCAACTCCTCAGAAGACAATCTGGACACAACTCACTCCAACATTGAATTTTGACCTCACCAATAAAACCTGCATTCAGGTCAGCAGGTACCACCTCTGCAAGCCAATATTCCTAAGGAGAACAGAATGTCTTTTCACTTAAGACTACAAGAAATGTACTTACAATTCACAGAAAAAATACTTGTCCCAAAATCATACAATACATGCCAAAATCCTCACGCGTCAAGCAATTCCACAACCGAATCACGTTCTTGTCACTTAAATCCATGTTTCCACACTTATTTCTATTAACAGTGACACAGCAAACATACATCACCCTATTTATTCAACCACAACCAATTAATTACATTGTTATTTGCGTATTACTAGATTTACTTGAACAAATCTTCGCAAATTTACCACCATTAATTTTCTATAATCGCTATTATTAACCAATGCTTCTGTGTGCCAAGACTCAGCGCGCATCACCTCAGTCCCGTCTGCCTTTGCCTACCCCCCAACAGGGGAAACAACTACACTTGTTCAGTACCTCCTAACTAATCCACTACTGGTTTTACCGTGGTTACAAGGGTTTTCTTCCCTTAGTCGTCTACCGCGACCTGACATCTCAGAAGCCACTTTACCAATTACTTTTTGTTTGTCAAGGCCATACATAAGTCCCGTGGGTATCTTAGCGTATATCCATTCTGTTCTGAATACTTCATAGCGTACAGCTCCCATTCTACACAACATTGTCTGGTTTCTATCTAGCTAGTTATGGCAATTTCCCGCCAAGGACACACACCAAAATACGTTCGGAAACCCGAAACTATGCAGGCCGAATCTACTTATTCCCATAAATAATTAATTAGCTCAATTTTTCCACAAAATTTTAACTCACAAAATTCACCAATTAACAACTTAATTTTTCAAATAGTGAAGACAAAATGGCACACATACGTCTCTTAAATAAAAAAAATCCCACATTCTGTTACAAAAATGAACAAAACAATCATTTGTCAGTTAATTACGATTAACAAAATAATTCTAAACTTAAAACATTTGAATGCACGAAAAACTCTAGTCATAAAAATATTCAACTCATTAACAGTACACAGAAATCAAAGTGGGAATGCTCCATCACAAAATGCCGTCAGTCTTTCTTCTTCAAAACAATTTTCCATTACATTCACGTACGCGAATTCAGGCCTCCGCGTGGCCAACATCAAACTTTCTCAAAGTTCAACATCAGGAAAATTTATTTTATGGTCAAATTTCCTTCTCCAAAAATTTTCTTTTTAAAAGCGAAACTTTCGCGGACAGATTTTCCACAAGAAAATAAGTAAAACAGACTGCCATATATACAACATTAAATTGTGACAATCAAAATCAACAACAGATTTTTTTGCATCAAAAAATAAGGTAAACATCAAAAAATCAAAAACAAAAATGTTTAATCAAAATTGACATTGTTAAACCTATGTGGATGTTCAATATGTCCCCTCTTTCTTTCTTTTCCTTACTCGTCCTTTTTTTTCTGTCCACCAAAAATGCCGACAATCTTTATTTTTCGCATGTCTAATGGAAAACAATTTTCCATTTGTCATGCGACAACCAGTCCGCTTACACTTTTTTCTTCATTTTTTTCATCATTATTTCTTATTTCGGTTTGTTGTTTAGATGTGTATGTGTTTGTGTGAACATTAGTTCTACTGTTCACACACACACATATGTTCATAGTACTTACAGTTTCTCTTTTTTCTGTCCTTACGTAATGATTACTTTTTTTCTTTATTTATATACTACCTCGTTGTCTCCTCCTCTGAAAATTTTCTTCGAACATTACCGCGTTGTAACCCTCCTTCTGCATCCTCCCATAATTATATGTCACTTATCTCCC